CCCCGCCCCTCCTCTTGGCCCCGCCCCGTTCAGCGGCCCCTCCCGCCCCGCGCAACCAAGCCGTTCCCGCCCTCGCACAGAGCCCAGGTAGCTGCGAGGAAACTTTTGCAGCGGCTGGGTGGCCTCCTTCTCCCGCTCCTCACTGAGCTACTGCCGGGCTCGCTGCGTCCCGGGTCTGCTCTCGACCCCGCTGCTGCCACTCTCCCGCGCCCCTCGCTCCTACGCGCTGCAGGATGGCCGGCACCGTGCGCACCGCGTGCTTGGCGGTGGCGATGCTGCTCAGCTTGGACTGCCCGGGACAGGCGCAGCCCCCGCCACCGCCGCCGGACGCCACCTGTCACCAGGTCCGCTCTTTCTTCCAGAGACTGCAGCCCGGACTCAAGTGGGTGCCCGAGACCCCCGTGCCAGGTGAGGAGGGCTTCCTAGCGCGTCCTCCGCGTCCCGCGGGGAGCTGAGGCGCGCGGTGGCAGTCCCTTGAGCGCGCTGGGGCCGCGTCGGGCGCCCTGCCGTTAGGCACCAGCGTGGGGTCGCTGGCCGGGGCAGAGCTGGGTCCACCGAGGAAATGAGGGAGGAAGGGTATGGACCAGGGCTCCCTGCCTCCGGGCTCGCGCTGCTGTCACGGACTACTCAGACTACTTGAGAGGCCGGAACAGCGGGGTGGCCTGCCTGAGGGCGCCCACGTCTGGGGGAAGGCGGGAAGGTGGGAGTTGGTTCCCGGGCCCTGGAGACCTGGCACCTCTAGCCCAAGCTGCTGCCTCTGGGATTGGCCCCTCTTGCTCGCACGTACGTGTCAGAATTGGAGCTGGAGCGCGCCTCTGGCCATCCCGCTCCCCACCAACCCCTGCGCCCTTCGTCCCCAGCCTGGCTCTCGACCCGGGCCCAAGTGCAGACAAAGTTGAGGCCAGCTTTCAGATTCTGCAGCTGCAGGTAAAGACACGCAGAGGGAAACTTTTGAGTTGAAGGGTCCCCCCAATAAGGAGAGCTGATCTTTTTTCCCTTTAATAAAAGCAACGTCCCTTAGCTGATGGACAAAATCACTTCCCAAAGGTGCTGCTGGCCCTGGGGAGCAGGAATCCCGAGGGTCTAACTCCTCCCCTTCCCTGGTTCAACTGCCTTGACAGTGTGGGCTCGGAAGGGTAGATGAGTTTAGGTGGAGGAAAGTTTCGGGACGCCTGCCTTTTGTTCTGCACAATCCAGTCGTGCCGTGGGGGCATAATTTAACCTTAGCTGAGGCTGCCGTTGTCAACAGAAGAATATTAATGGTCTTATGTGATTGACTGTCCCGCGGTGGGGTTCCGAAAAGCCTGCCTTAGAATCCAGTTAGGACACGTTGCGACACTGACGATGCAGCCCAGAAGAATCGTTTTCAAACAGGTTAATTTCTCCGAGGTGCGCTCCGAAGAAGCTGGTGGTGGTCGAGAACCTTAAGACGCTGGTGGCCTCAGGCACCTCTACGCGATCCACACACCCAGCGTGGCGCGTGTCCCGCGCTTCCGAGGGATCGAGGGGCAGCCCTCCCCAAAACTTGGCTCTCGGCTCTCAGCAAGTCGGGAAGGCGGGCCTGGTGGCTGGACCAAGTAGTGAACGCGGATGCGCGCCCCGTGGGTGCTGCCAGGGAGCGTTCACTGGCAGGAGGTTACCTAGGCAGCCAGCGCGCCCTCAGTCTTTTCTTTAGGTGGATGAAAAGAGCCAAGCAAGCCTGCTGTTTAGTTGCAAAGGTAATTGGTCACCCTTTTTGGCGACTGAAAATGCATTTGCGCAGATGTTAAATATTGCTTTGCAAGATTTCGCCCCAAGAGGTCTGTGTGTGTGGAGGGGAGAAGAACTACCTCTTCCACTGTTAAATGTTAATAACGTACCACGTGGGCGTGTGCAGGCTCTGTAAGGGTCAATCTATGAATCCCTTCCACGAGCTGAAACAACAGGTGAAGCTCTCGCCCCTCAAAGTGCTGTGGTAATTAGATTGCTGAGGCCAGAGAACATGCTTTTGTTGATAATGTGAAAATGGGTCCTTGCAAGCTGAGCACACCCCCACCACACCCCAATCCAAGATGTATGGGTCCAGGGCTGGGGCCACACTGGATTGATTTGAACTCTGGGAATAAAGACTGGGCTTAAAAGAGAAAAAGACAACAGGGAATGCATAGATATACATTTAGTAAACGCCCCCCCCCCCAACACGCACTCCTGGAGGCGCTTTCCCTCCCCCACTGCCCACAGCTCTCTGGCTGCCTTCTTGCTGCCTCTGTATGAAAGTATTGGGAGGGCCCACACACTGTGTGTACTGAGATTTGGCCTGGACTTCTTCCCTCCCTCTTTCCTTTTCTCCCTCCCCCACCCCCTACTCCTCGCCTAGAGATAGCCACACTTAGAGACCAGGGACTTGTAATGGAGATTTTTCATTTTTTTCTAGTAGTTACCAGAGTCTGTAGAAGAAACCACTTTCCAAGGGGCTTCATAAAATAAACCCAACAGCCCCCATTCCAGTTCTATTGAACTGATGAAGGAAACCTCAAAAAGTTCGTGTAAAAATTCCGTTCTCTTTCCATCTCATTTCCCCACCCCCACAGTACTGAGCATCTTTTGCCTTGCAGGCACCGTTCTGATTTGCGCTGGAGCCAAGCCAAACGTCCAATATGGTGATACCCATGCCACTACACAGCTGAGTAGATCCTGGATTTTGTGGAGTAGTGCTGATTTCCAATACTATGTTCTAGCATGAATGCACGTGTCCTGAGCTTTCCTTGTACAATTGTGGTCACTGCAGACATGGGGAAAATCCTCATGTCTATCTGCTCTGGTAAAGATTTACAGCCTCGGAAACCCTGTACAGGTCGCTATGAGTCGGAACCGACTCCACGACACATAACCACCACCACCATATGTGGACAGAACTGATCAGTATTTCAGAAAAGGGGTGATAATGGCAGACTCCATACAATGGCAAGTGTATCGTTTCAAAGGGAATAAATGTTATTTGCTGCTTGGAAATTGAAAGAGATGCAAATTATTTGATAGTTATGAACCAACTTGATGACCGCTTGATACCTGGTACCTCCCCCTCCCATCTATAGTTTAATCCCTGTTCAGTTTGCCTGTTCCTCTTTATTAACCTCATTATTCTTTGCCTCAGAGAAAATGAGATTTGGTCAGAGTAAGGGGACATTCACAAGAATGTCCTGTCTTACTTAGGAGGCCTGTGTGGTGGGGCTCTGTGGTTAATTCACTGGACTGTAAGGTCAGTTTGAACTGCAGGGTCGTTGGTTCAAGCTCATCAGCCGCTCCTCAGAAACCCTACACAGGGTTGCTATGAGTCAGAACCTACTGAAAACAACAACTTAGTGGGGGCCTTTGGGATTGTCTGCTAACTTCAGCCATTAGTACATCTGAGTTACAGTGGCTAAGGTACATTTCTTATGCTAATATGAATGAAACTAAATGACATTTGAAATCAACCAGCCAAAAAACAAAAACACTATCTCTGATGCTGAAGGACTGTGCTAGTCATCCACAAAGCAGATCTGAAGCCTGACAATTTCATGTCCCCAGTTCAGAGGCACAGGACAGCAATTCTAAATGGCATGTCCCCCAACTCCATAGATCTCTTCGTACTCCATTCTTTTTTTTTTTTTTTTTTCTCTCTCTCTCCTTCTTTTTAAGGATTTGTAATTTGGAAAGCCCCACAGATGGAAACCAGGCACACAGAGTTAGCATTTGGCAGAAAAATCTATATAACTGACTTTCAGTGCAGCTCTTTTGCCCTTATTTAATTTAGAAAAATTCAGAAAAAGGCCAATGAGCTCATAAGTCTAGCTGTTTATTTTGTTTTGCTTAACCTACCCACAGGCGCAATCAAGAATGGATACAATTTTAGGCAAAGAAAGTGAGCTAAGTAATCAGACAATGATGTTTCCAATTGTCTCAAGGGAATGTTACAGAAGTCTGAAAAAATATTCCTCTAAACAAAAATCAAGTGTAATTCACTTTATGAATGCCATACACCACTTTTGCGGGGAGGGTAGTGGTAGAGGGGATGTATGGGAATGAGAAAATCAAACAAACCGTGGTAGTATTACAACTCCCCAAAGATTGAGGGATCTTGCTTTAGAGGCCTTGGAAAGTGCTAGAACCAATCTAGAAGGCCAAATGTTTGTATGGGTAAAAGGTAGCACTGAAGAGCCAGGATTTTGGAATTTCTCAAAACAGATGAAATGACATAAAAATAAAAAGCAACTTCAAATGTGAGAACCAACAACTGTATCTACTTTGCCAGCTGTGGTTCCCTGATTAGTTTGATGTAATTAGGACCCTAATTTGCACCCTGGTGTTGCAGTGGTTAAATCCTTGGGTTTGAACCCAGCCAGCCACTCTGTGGAAGAAAAGACCTGGTGATCTGCTTTGGTAAAGAGGACAGCCTAGGAAACCTTCGGGGCAGTTCTACTCTGTCACATAGGGTTACTATGAGTCAGAATCAACTTAAAGGCACACAGCAATGCAGTACAGGGTCCTAAATAAGAAAGAAGTGAAGTGTTTTCTCTCCTGAGATTACACTAGATATTTGGGTGATTGGGTGATTTGGTAAGACTTTGAATACATATTGTGTGCTTATTTGGAACAGTTAAGACAATTCTTTCAATTGCAGGCTGAACGAATTTCTTCCACTAATCCTGGTTTTGGTACTGAGAGGGGACCACGGGTCTGATTGAAGCTGATGATGGGGGTCGAGGAGGCACCTTGGACTGAAAGGAGCTCATTGCGTGGTGCAGGCGCTGTGTTAGGTGCTGGGGGTGCAGAAAGGAATAAGATAGTTCCCTTTGTTAAATAGTGCACAGTCTATTGGGGGAGCATACAAGTAAGCAGGCTTCCCAGGAAACTTGTAGGATTAAATAGGGTGAAAAGGGCTAGAAAAGACCTCCAGGAAATTGGCTGAAATGGTTACAATAGCCAGCCTGGGTAAGTAAGGGAGATGAAGTGGGAGATAGGAAGTCTCTTAATAGCACCGCCATCTTAAAAAGAATTTCCTTAATTCTTGGAGCAAATTCCATTTTGTAAGCATTAGGAAATACAGACATAAGAAGATTTTGGTGGAGGTTAGAGGACACAGATGGTTTTTGCAATTTTTTTTTTTCCTTATAGTTTGGTAGGTTGTAGCTATTATTTTGATTCACTATTTTTGCATTTCCGTGTTCAGAGTTGTAATGTTTCCTGCTCACTGTATCCTAGAAAAGAGCTGCTTATTACCAACCTGGGAGAATAGAATCCTGGATTTGTCTAGTGTGAGACAAGATAGAAAATATGTATTCTCCTTAAATGGCAGCTATCAATGGCCACGCCAACTCTAGTGTTTGATGCATATACAAAAGCATGGGTCTTAAGAGGTATCTTATTACTCATTTCTAAGAAAATTG